ATCCGAATGCAGTCGTTGGGGCACAAACTTGCGCTCAAGCAAAAGAGAAACGGTCAATGGCCACCGACTGCATTAGAAGCCGTGAAATGTGAAATTTGGCATGTCTGGTTCTGCCAAAACATCGGCAGACAGAATTCATCCTGAATAAATTAACAATTCTGGCATTTATTACTTTTGTAAAAAACCATCTCATGTTGCATTGCTCCCGTTTAACAAGAGAAATGCATGTCTTTTTTGCACAGTCTCGACTGCCACACCCAGCTCATACCTCTTCTGTTCGCATACTTGTTCCCGCCCCAAAGCAAACATGCAAAAAGAGGGGACCAGGCAACGCTCGCTATGGATTGTTTCTATCCAAAAACCCACCTTTTGTCCGCCATCCTCGCAAGCGCCTTTGCTCAGCGTCAGTGGCCCGAACGAAAGAGGGAATCGAAAGAGAAACCAGCCTCCCGAGAGCCCCTTAATCATTTGATGCTGACCGAGTTTGTAGGAGGAAATAAAAGTCGGTTGAGCGGAATACATGAATCGGCTGAGCTTTCGATTGGGACGAGGTGGCAAGACGGTGCGTTTTCCGATGAGGCCAATCGGCCACTCCCTTCCGCACAAACCCTTCTTTGCAACGGACAGAATGGCAACCTTGCCAGGCTGGGTGGTACCAGACGAGTTCTAGCACACAACCAAGCGAAAAAAGGCTTCGTTCTACTCTCCCTCGGAAATTATATCTCCTCCCGGCTCGACTGAACTGGACCAAGCTGCAGTTTCGACCTCGTTCATCCTCGGGAGTCGAGTCCAAATGGTGAATTTTGCGGCGCCGGTACCATTCCGCTACCCGATCACGGCTGCCAAGGGATCGCAGTTCAGGTGTGCCGTTCAAAGCGCCCAGAATCAGATAAAATGTGGGATATTAAAAGACTTTACTTTCGCATAAAAGTGCTCGATGAGTGGGTCAATCGTACCAGAAGACGACGACTAATTGCCGTTCATCTGCAGCCGACTTCCAAGCAAACTCAGTCCACGGAAGCTCCTCAACTGTTGGTGGATAGAAACGAGCTAAACTTTGCTCCATCATGTTATGAAGATCACCAGACCTGAGAGTCACTCGTGCAAAGGTTTCATGTAAGCACACGCAATCTACCGCATAAATAAACATAGAATGGTTTGGAAAAGAACTGAATATCAGCTCCAGGTCACCAAGGCCTAATGAGAAAAAAAGCAAAATAATGACTAAGATTGGTTAAAGTGAGGAAATGTAAGACTTAAAGTGTGAAAGTCAGGTTACAAAGCCGCCAGGTGAGATCGGACTATGAATCTCTTAAACACACACTTTCTTACAAAGTGAAAGTTTTCACAAATGAAAGGTCAATGGAATAAGCCGATTAGATTAACGTGCATTTGTCATTGAAATCAACGACGTTACCTATTTTCGGGATAAGTTGGTCTCCAGAAAATGGATAAGTCTTTGCGAAAAATCCGGTTTTCGAGGAATCCCTTTCAGCTAGTTTGAAGAAGCGAGTGAAGGGATTCGTAAGTTGGTCTCGATGGAAGCCGAAGCAGGATTGCCTCGGAGCTGTGAATGTAGGTTTGTGTGAATGGGTCATGTGTGGACCA